GTGAAAGGAGTCACTGGTGAGGAGGTAATACACTATTTTTCACAACCCTTAGGCTGTAACTACTTGTTAGATCTTTCTTGTGTATCTCTGTCTTCCTGAGAAACCACTTTGAAGATACCACCATGTTTTACAGCAGCCATTGATATATTCCTACTAATCTGTCCATAACTCTGTAATGTTTGTATTATTCCTATGCTATTTCATAAATGGATGTATGTTTATTATTGTGTTTCCTATGACAACCATTGAGAATAGTCAATGAATATTCAATTGGTCACTCATGTATAGCTCTATTTAGTTTCTTTAGAAGCCAATTTGAAGATACCAAAGTATAGTATAACAACTATTGATAATCTCCTACCACTTTTGTCTGTAACTCACTATTATTTGTCTGTTTGTTTTCCTGAGAAACTACCTTGTAGATAACAATATGTAAAACAACAACCATTGATAATTTCCTACCACTTTGTCTGTAATTCGGTAAGCCCCCCTATTACTATGCTATCCTTCTTTTACTCTTTAAAATAAAAAAAAAAAATAAAATAAAATAAAAAGTATGCTGAATGAAAATTAGCTGAAGGAAGAACTGAAAATTTAAAATTGCCATTATAAAAAAATTTGAATTATACTTTGATTGGATTTGGAGAGAAAGGAAAAAACTGAAAGCAGATTAACACTTTCACCCAACACTGGGAAGACAACAGCATAATGCTTCTGACTGCGGGCTTGTATCAATGGTTTCAGTGAAATTAAGAGATTTCAGAAAGAGCCAGACTTGTCATGCTAACGTGTTTTTTTAAGCCCACATCCCCAGGCAGACAGTATTACAGAAGTCAGAGTCTATTAGTGATTAAAAATCTTACACATAATTGTACAGAGTCATTTGTTAAAGATTTTATCATTATGATCTGATATATACCTAAACCCCACTGTGAGATCAACAAGAACAACAGCTGCCCATCTTTAAATATCTATAAAGGGACCATGTACAATGTTTGCCTGTTTTAATTTTATGTATGTGGGTCACACATATAAAGTTCCATTCATAAATCTAAAATTTCTACTTTGAAAGCAGACCAAACCTATTAATATAAAGTAGCTTTATGCTTCAACAGCCAAGAAAGTTCTTAAATATAAACAGCTACTAAAGTCTCAAGAAGAGATATGATTTCAGGCATCATAATCTCATCAGATCAGCAGGTGTATTGGAAATACTGTGTGTTAAATAGCGTAAAATGTTGTATGTCTGTTAATGTTTCCCTCCTTTTATCCTTAAAATAAAAAAAAAATAGCACATATATGACACTCATTGAGTAAGTCAGACAATGCATAAATCAATAGTCACTGTGATGAATTACCCTTAGGTCATACAGAAAATAGTACCATTGATTAGAAAATAGTGGTAGGATCCCTAGAGATGTGGACAGAGAGGAAACATGATGATGACAAAAGCCGGCTCTGGGCAAAAATATGTAGGCATCGTGCTTATTGGCAAGGAAATAAAAAGGAAGAATAGGAGTGCATAAAGTAATCCTTTACCTCAACAAGGGGAAGAGATGATTTTAAAATATAGAAAATAATTTAGTTTGAGGGACTGACAATAGAAAATCAACCCAAAACAAAATAATCAGTAGATCTCTTTCTCTGGGAAAAAAATTAATAAAATAGGCCTTATGCAGGAAAGGCTGATGAAGTAAAACAATTTCAGGGATAAACATTAATAGTATTAAGCAAGACAGTGAGACGCTACCAAGTTCTTGAAGGAAATCTTAAGTTATTGCATTCATGTTTTGTATAGACATGCTTTAGTTTTGAAAATTAAAACATAATTATCAAAAGTGACTAAGTTAAAAATTAAAGTGAATTTATACATCATTTTCTATGAGATTTTAATAGAGTTGAAATAAAATTTGTAGTACACATTGGGCCTGAATAGATTTATGGATTATTTTGCTTCTAAAGCATAAGACTGAAACCCAGGCATGGTTTTGCACACTTGTAATCCTAGCACTTTGGAAGGCTGAAGCAGAACTCAAGTTGAAGCCCAGTCTAGGCCGCTTAACAACTTATCAAGTGTGCATCTCAAAATAACAAAAAATGGCCCTAGGATGCAGCTCAGTGGGAAGAGGGATGATTCAATCCATAGTACTGAGAAAAATTTCTACAAATTTCTTTTTAAAAGAGGAATATAGGGAGTTAAAATAAAGTGTGCTTGTTATGAAGGTAATTTGAGCTTATTATAAATATTCAAAATAAAATTTGAGTATGGTAAATAGGTAATTAGGAAATTTGATAATTTTAAAATATCCTTATATTTTTGCAAGGAGAAAAAGAATGTGCTTATTGGAGTACATATAACATTTGATGTTAACAAGAATGTATTTCTGGCTGAATGAGTTAGTTCAGGAGGAAGACATTTTCTTAATATTATTATGTCAATGTAAAAACAGTAAAAATCTGTCTACTTTCATCCACATGAAGAGATCTCAGAGGTGATGGGCACATTAATCAATTTGATTTAATCATTTGATAATATAAATATGTATAAACACATAACCTTGCATATATATATAGTATTTGATAATTAAAGATAATACTGAAACCCTTCCAAGTGAAAATGCAGATATTACTTAAAACTATAACAATGAGTCACAACAAGAATAGATGAAGGTCAGGCATAGAAGTTCACTCTCCTTACAGATGATTAATGGCACAGACAATGATTCCATTCACTAATTCTTAAGATCTTATGTTAAAAATACCTATAACAATATTAATAAAGTTTGGCCTGCTTTGAATGTTGTTGGACAAATCTTCTTAAAGAAGCTGTGCACCAAGAACATTTTAAATAATAGAGTGAAAAAAATAATATTTCGGTGTTAGCATTAGAATAATTTAATATTTTTGAATTCCTAGTCCAAAGAATAAATATTCAGCAAGTTAACAAAGATGAAATAATCAAAGAGGCAAGGAGGAAATAGTAACCAATAAAAGATAAAATTTTTCACTTCAAAAGCTAATTAGAAATAGTGCAACATCCAAAAATTGGTAAGAATTGAATTATATTATTTTGAAGGCTGTAATATTATAGAGGCATAATAATTATCGTGAATATATGTGTAGAATATATATACATATTGTATGTACCTTGTTATGTAAGGAAAATTTGTTGGAACAAAATAGAAATAGAATATCTTACTTTGAATGCATTTATATTTGTGAGCTAAAAGATACATGGTATTATAAAAATACAGTATAACTATTATGCACACTGCACTTCCATACCTGAGCCATATCATGCTTTAAATACTAAAGTTACTTTTGCAGTGTAATTTTGGTGTAAACGTGTATTTACTTTAATATGCAAACAAATTTCTTTTCCAAAACTTCTTTCCTTTTCCTTCTGATTTTAGGAATACGAGCTTTCTCATGAGTCCTTATAGTCTTGTTTCTAGTGGATAGATCAGCCTGAGAATAAAAGCTTAAAAAATTGCAGTATGTTCACTTCAGTCATAGACAGGGATTATAGTGTATGGCTCTCAAACAGAGCCAACTGTAATGGCAGACTGATTCCTTGAGCATATGACAGTGGACAGCCAAGGACAACAGAACAGTAAGTAGCTTCTCTCCTCTCAGGAACAGAAACAAACCCTGGATCCAGTAACCTTGAACTATTCTTGAAATCTGATAACACCCAATAGTGATCATTTCCTCATCTTCCACTGTAATCAGGAGATGTCTGATCACACTGGGATGCTTTTAGTTAGAATCTTCTAAGATTATTTTAGTCAGAATCCCTCACTGTTCCTGTGTGATATTTTAGTAATATTCCATCCAGTGACCTGCATCCTGCTTTTCTGCTGTAAACTCCCATTAGCATATGTAAAATTCAGAATTCTCTGCAACCCTTCTTTCCCATACCAAAGCCACAGAGCAGCGGTTCCTATACTGAAGATTTTTCCTTAGTCAAGTAAAATTCTTCTTGCCATTTTTGATAAGTGCCACGAATAATTAATTCTTTTACAGGTTTCAGGAGATTCAGAGCAGACTTCCATGAGTCAATCACTCAATCGTCCTTCTGGTCTGTCACTGGATAAGAAGAAACGCCCAGCAGCAGCTACCAGAACCAAAGTTTACATATTAAGCTTTTCAGTAACCATGTCTAACACATTTTGGAAAACTATGGAAAAACATTCATGCAGGATGTAATGACAAATGCCTGTAATGCCAGCTGCTTAAGAGGCGGAAGCAGAGGTTATTTCTTGAGCACAGAAGTTTGCTGCCAGTCCAGACAGCAAAATAAGATACTGTATCACCAACTATGTAAACATAGGGAAAGTGTCTAGGAATAGAAATATAAGCAAATATCTGAAGATTATAAGGAATATGAGGTAGCTAGAGATACCATCTACAGAAGAAAAAGCTCAGATTCTTCACACTGTTATCCCTGCTGTCAAAAATCAGCAGCTACCCAGGAGCACTGTGGGCCCAGCATCTTATAAAAGACAAAGTCAATCACTTTCCCTTTTCTCAGGAGGGAAGCTGTCATTTGCTAGCATTCTCTGACACTTTGCCATATTCATTATTTAATTGAATATATGGTAACAGAACTGATACGATAGTATTGAAAAACAGGAACTACACACGTATGTAAGTTAAAAAAATCACTGGTGGGTAAAAATCTCTGGATGACTCATCCCTTATTCTTGGCCTAACCTGCAGTTCCAGGAATCATGAAATACCCCTGGCAGGAGATAACTTAGTTTATTTGAAGTAGTAACTGAATATCTACAGTAAGAATTTAATGCATAATTTTATGCATCACTAAAAAACATTAGCTAACCCTCAATTGTATGCAGCTCAGCAATCTTTGGTAGGTAGCTATACAATTTTGCATACAGCTATAAAACCCTTTGTATACAGCTGTACAATTTGTTACGGCCACTTAACATTCAATTCAGTCCAAGGACTTGCGCTGTTTTTCTGCAGAACATCAGTTGTTTTAACACCATGCCATGGCATCTCAGCAGGTGGAAAGGAATGGATCATGGGATAAGGTGGAGAGTGTCATCTCTCTCAGGTTCCAGCACTGAAAACAAGGAGCTAAGAAAATAGAACAAAGGATATTCTCTTTCCCCTTTCAAAAGTTGAAAAAGAGGCTAGGAAAAACAAAAACAAATTATAGGTAGTCCTCTTGTGCATGTGTGGGTGGGAAGAACAGTATAACATTATAGAGAATAATGAAGCATCTATCCATAGATCCCTGGCTGTTATCCACCTTCAATAAGCAGGAAGAAAATAAGTAAATGAAGAGGACACTTACGGCATGGTATAGAAATCCTTAAGAGGCTTTATGTTGAAGATACCAGTGTAGTATATATGGGCATAAAGAGAGAAAAAACCCCCAATCACCACGTCTCCATCCTTGTGCACACTGGTGCTCCTTTGGTGAAGGCAGTCTTCGTAATCTAAATTACACACTAATGCAGGAAGCTGCAGGAGAAGGAAGATAACAATCAGAGGGAACATCTTAGACATACATGCAAAGCTCTGAGGCTGAGTGAAGAGGAAACTTGCAGAACCAGCCAGGTAAATAAATATATATTGTGTATGTGATTCTATGTGTGATTATTTCTGACTCAGGTGTGATTATTTCTGACTCCCATCAGCAGGGCCTCCTCCATGTCCCTGGAGCAATTTGCCGCCATTGGCTCCCTGGTGTCTAATGAGGTCAGCAGGTGAGTTCTGGTGTTCAGGGGAAATACACAAGTTGGAAATTATCTTTGAGTATCTTTCCCCCTAGAGCCACCATGATTTCATCCATTTCACTGATAGCAGCATCCCATGGGCTACCTCCTTGTGGGCTGATTTGCTCCTAAGCCTTTCTCAATAAGCCATTTCCATAGATGCCATTCGTAATGTTGGTAATGGGTTGTACTAGAGGACTCAATGCTGGTATTGATAGGCCACCCACATTGGACCCTGCCCAACTTTAAGTGAAAGAATCCCAACAGACCAGTCTGTTCAAACATGAAGCCCCCTCACCCAGCCCAAGAGACTGAAATAACCATGTTTATCAGCTTTGTTCTCAGGCTTACAGGAAACCCTGTAGTCTACAGAATACCACTCTGTAAGTCAGCAAAATACCACAAAGTGTTTCACCTAGAGGAACCAGACCCACCAGTGACTCCCGACAAACTTAAAAATTTCCGTCTCCCTCAGCTGGACCCTCTCCCTTAAACTTCTCTGTAAAGAATGTCCTCTTCCTTTGTTCATAGCCAGTGGTCTTTTTGCCTTTGGCCAAGCCACACCTGGTCTGAAATAAAGATATCAATGTTTTCCTTAATCCTGCCTGTCCTAGTGGTCTCAGTTTCTCTTCATGGTCTACTCTGAGAGGTATCTGTTGAAATAGTCTGAAAAACTCCCTGCTCAGACAGGAAACACCGGGTGTTATGCCCTCCAAAGTACAAAATAAGTACAAAACTAGGAGTTGTAGCCTGACAGACTGATGATAAACAGCTGCAGTCACAAAACATTCCCTGTATAGCCATGTTGTCTGTATACCAGTCACATGTGCTGAATCTCACAGCCACATGTGTTCTCCATTTGTTGGGGTACAGATAATTACATGAAATCCAGAAAATCCACACTAGTAATACAAATCAATACAAAAGTAACATTTTGAGTTATATGACTTAGGCAATTTTCCTATTGCTTTGATCTTTCAAATATCTTAATCCCACAGTTTAATATATTGTAACGATCCATTTCTATGCCTACAGACTTGAGTTTCTCTAGTATTTAGGCTTCTATGAGAATATGAATCTATGTAGTAATTATTTTTCTCACCCTAAAGCAGAGAAGCAAAGCTGCAAATTACTTCTATAGTTCCAATCATGCGAAATTTGGAGGAGGAGGGACGCACAGGCAACATTTACACACTGGAATTCAGAAAAATTTTAGGACAGGGAGATTATTCTGTGTAATATTGTAATTGATAAATGCATATCGTTTTGTATTTGTCAAACTCTAAGTAATGCTCAGAGCAAAGAATGAACCTCAATGTGAATTTAGGCTTTATTTAATACATACTTATTAATGCTGACATATAAACTGTGACATGTGAACAATAGGCAATATGTTAGGAACAGGAGAGAACTTATTGGTTTTGTAAAAGTAAAACATTCAAAGCTAAAATCTATAAATTTTTATTCATTTATTTTAAAGAGAGAAAGATAAAAAATAACAAAAACAATGATACAGTTTCAAAACAGGATAATAAAAAATTAATAATGGTTAATATACTGCATATTGTTGTCTTCAAAGTAGTTGCCCAGATTAAAAGATATAAACATGCAAAATTAATCAACCAATATAAACACAAACCAATCTTTTCAAAGGTCTAAAAGAAATTAGAAGTATAATTGTGTTCTCTATCTTGTATCTATCTATCTATCTATCTATCTATCTATCTATCTATATATATATAGAAAGACCA